CAATTTAGGCTCCCACTGTCTCTTTAAGAGCGCGCCCGAGACTCGCGGCGCGCTCTCGCGCTTCTCGCGGTCACTGCCCGCCTTTCTAGTGAAGCTGTCAGATGAGCCGCGCACGGCTCGTGCAGCAGCAGGACCGCGCGCGGCTCGAAGAGAGGACCGCGGCCGGCCCCTGGATAAGGTGAGTAACGCTACAGTGCTCCACAATGATCTAATAAGAAATTCCTATGGAAACAATAATAAATGGCTCATGGCTGAATGAAGACTAGAGTAACAGAGAGAGAGAGAACATCTTTGATGGCTAAATGGACTGAAGACTGGCAGCGTAATCCACTAAACACATTGTCCAGATGTTAAAAATCAGGTGAAAATAGCAAAATTATAGCTAGAATTGCCATTCTCATATTTACTAACGCTAATTCCAGTCTGTATAACTCCTTTGCATGTGACCTACACAGTCTGTCTATTAATTTCCTGTAAGGGGAAATCTAATGTTTAAACTTCTTTTATTGCACAGTCTGTTTAATTTACAATTTCTTATCTCCTGCTCTGTTAATAACCTTCTCCTTCAAGAGCCTCCTATGTATCATTAAGGTTCGATTAATAGACCAGGAGATAAAAGAAAAACATTCTAAATTCTAAATACACTGTACTGTACTAAGTAATGTCTATAGTGTCCACGTAATGAAGATCATGACCCTGCAATCTCACTGCTCCCATGGATGTGACACACACAGCTTCCAAGAATTTTTTTTTTCATGTTTCAATGAAAACTAACAGTACAGTGATTGAAGTGTTCTGTGTGCAGTGACCTGTTCCCCTTAGCCCTGCAGTATAAACATTGCCGTTTCAGAAAAACTGGTTATAACTGCCTCTAGTGTCTGTCTCAGAAAACCACTGGAGCTGGTTCCTGAATTTACACACAGTTTAACTCTGTGAAATGACGCTAGACGTCTTTACACAGAGCTTGGCAGCCGCTTCTAAGTGCTGCTACAAAGTGTGAGGTTGGAGATATTCTAGAGAGTTTTACAGAAGCTTCAACTGTCTAAGAGTTGTGCTAGGAACTTTCTTTTCTACTGTTACAGGTAAGATTCATCAGTAGGAAAAGGTTACTGATTGCACAAGGTTTGATTTCCTGTTGGTAATTATAAGGCATTTGATTTGATTAGCTAGGTGCTTTCTATGGATTGCTAGTTAATTAGCTATTTTATTAAAGACACGGAGGCTCCTATTATGCTTCTCTTTCTTTAATTCTCCCTCAGCAGCGAAGAGAGATATATGCAAATGAGAGAAAAAATAACAATAACATTAGCATATGGAACAGTGCTCATAGGTATCCACCCCCTTAGTATATAAGGTGTAGCACTCCATGCTTCTTCCTCTTTCTTCGCTGCTCCCTCAGAAGATAAGTACACTCTCATATTATTATTTCTATGTGTACACTGTGGGATGTCTCAGAGGATATTATATAGTTGTTAGATTTATATCTTTGTGTTACTACTGTGGGGATACTCCTTATCTGGTTTATCCCTCCTTTTTTTCTCTGTTTTTCTTCCCACTTCTTCTTACACTGCCTGTTTTATCTCTATTGCCTGTGTTTATTTTACTGTGGCCGGTCCCTCTCTGTTCCCTGGGTATTCATACAATTCCCTCCCCCCAGCCCCCTCCCTCCGGTTGGGGCTCCCTCCCCGGTCACAGTCTGCCGGTTTTGCGCCGGGGGGACCCATCGGTCAACCCCGCGGCATTTCCCGGCACTATTTTCAGCACCGCCGGCTGGACCTACTTTCGTCCGCGCGGCGATTCGCTTTACCTTAGTTCCCGCCGCTCGCACGCACCGCGCATGCGCGGTAGCTCGCGGCGGCCATTTTCTTGGTTTCTGGTCGCCGGTTTAGACGGCGGCCATTTCCTCTACTCGGTTTTAGTGCCGTTTGACCCCTCCCTCACCGGATTTCGTTCCGGCAGCCCCCCCTACTAGTACAGTTTGATTTCTCTGCATTTATATTTTGGAATTACCTTCCATCTCCCTGTACTTTCCATCCTGTACCTGGGTTAATCAATCCTAGTACTCTGCATTTACACTTTATTATTTTCTATTTGTTATTTTCCCACTTGCACTCTATTACCTACCATGCAATCTGGTGATAAATTCCCTGGCAAACATAGCCCCTCTATGGCCACTACTGATCCTGATCCTCAGGTCGACCCTGGGCTCATGGGCTCTGAGGAATTCCAATCTCTTCTGGACACCACCATGTCCAAATCTATTTCAAAGGCCATATCCTCAGCCATGGGCGCGATGTCCTCTACCATCTCGGACTCCATTACGCAAGCGCTCAAACAGGTACAACCTCACTCTACCCCAGCCTTGACCCATACCCCTCCTGAAGGGAGACTACCAGGGCACAAAGCACTAACCAAATGCAGACATTCACAAGACCCCCCCCCCATGCAGGTTGACCCTGCTCTGATTGACATGCCTCAGGCTGTCCATGATGGCGCGTAACAACCGCGCAATAGAGCTTCTGGGCGAGCTACGGCTACCAGAGACTGGAAAAGGGCTAAGGCCCATGATATACTGTCTGACTCAGACGAGGAGGGGGATGAGGGGTCTGACGCCCCGTACTCTGACCCGTACGAGGATGAGCTCTCAGAGGGTGAAAGCCTCCAGGGAAAGCAGTTCCCCTTGACACCAGAAACAACCCGCGACCCTAAAGAGGTTCCGCTATTCGACCCTGACAACTTAAGGCACCCACACTCTGCCGAGTGGGAACCATCCGAGCCATCAGCCGATACCTAGCCCTCAGGGTACGTAAGTCCCTTTCTCAAGAGAGCCGTAATAAATTGAGAGCGGAGTGCCCCCGACCCATAATTCCTGATGCTGTGGCAAAAACCCCAGAAGTGGACCCCCAGATAGCCCAGTTTCTAGCCAAAACCGTCTGGAAGGCCAAGAGGGGACTGGATTACTCCCTCCGTAATTGTCAGGACAAGTTCCTAGACACTCTGGGTCCTGTCACTAAGCTGTACGAACTGCTGGAAGCAGCTCAGTCGGGTGTGGCACCAGTAGACTTTGAAGTAGCGTTTGGCTGGCTCCAACGCTTGGTCTGCATGATCGGCAATGCCAATACTGCCATGTCAACAGAACGCAGGAAGGCCATCCTGCTGAAAATCGAACCCAAGCTGGCTAGTATGGCCTCCTCTGAACCAGGGGCCGCGGCTAAGGGTCTGTTGTTTGGCGAATCCTTCGTCAAAGACCTGGGCTCCTATGTCAAAACATTCACGGCGCTGGATAAAGCCCAATCATCCATGAAGAGGGTCTTCCACCAAAAGGTTTTCGGTGGGGCCGGTAGAGGTAGGAGCCGTCTATCCGGCCGCAACCCCCGGGGTTTCTCAAGACCGGGCAGAGGCTCCTCCAACACACAGAGACAAAACCAGGAGCGTTCCTACACTCCGTTCTTCCCTTCTCGAGGAAGATCTTGGAATGCCCGTGGCGGCAGAGGAACGACCCCAGGAAAACGCCCTTATGGTGAGTACGATTTTTCCCCATTTTTCCCATATAAATGTGGGGGGCAGACTGGCTTTGTTTTCTCAGACTTGGGCCACTATCACGTCCGACAGTTGGGTACTGCAGACTGTAGAGGGTTACCACCTAGAATTGACGGGTCTTCCCTTTCAGGTTTCCCTCCCACGTGTGCCACACATGCCACAGTCCCACTACGACCTCATCTCCACGGAGATAGAGACCTTGTACAACAAAAATGCCATAGAAGAAATTCCTCTAGATACCCCAGGTTTTATAAGCAACCTGTTCTTGGTGCCGAAGAAAGGCGGGGGTGTCCGCCCAGTTATCAACCTGAGACCCCTCAATGCCTTCATACAATATCGGCATTTCAAAATGGAGGGCATACACTGCCTCCGAGACCTCCTTCTCCCAGGAGACTGGATGGTGAAACTCGATCTGCAAGATGCATATCTCACGATCCCGATAGCACCAACACACAGGAATCTGCTACAGTTCCGGTGGGGCACAAAGAAATGGCGCTTCTGTTGCCTCCCTTTCGGGCTCTCCTCCGCTCCCTGGTGCTTTACGAAAGTGCTGAAACCAGTGGTAGCATTTCTCAGGTTACACGGGATTCGCCTCATTATCTATCTGGACGATATCCTCATAATGTCTGGGACACGATCCCTTCTGCTGTCTCACCTGTCGTGGACCCTTCACCTCCTGCAGAACCTTGGTTTCCTAGTGAACTGGGAGAAATCGGTATTACAACCTTCTCAACAGATGGAATTCCTAGGATTCCGAGTCGATTCTGTACAACAAATCCTGTGCCTCCCTTCAGACAAGATGTCCAACATCAAGAAGGAGATCAGGAGGATAATGAACCGTTCGGACATTTCTCTAAGACAACTGGCTCGGGTAATCGGCTTACTAGCGGCCTCTATACAGGCGATCTTCCCGGGACCGCTCCACTACCGGGCGCTACAACGCCTAAAAGCTTCCTGCCTAAGGAAGGGTCAGTCGTACGAATCCAACATCACGCTGGACGAAGAATCCAGGGAGGAACTGGACTGGTGGCTAACCCACATGGAAGCGTGGAATGGACGGGCGATCTTCGGTTCCACTCCAGACATGATAATCGAGTCGGATGCAAGCTTACATGGCTGGGGCGCGCGCTGCGGCTCCATATCCACAGGAGGCAGGTGGTCAGTAAACAAATCGTTCCTGCACATAAACTCACTGGAACTACTGGCGGCCTCATTTGCCATTCGCAGCCTCACACCCAGGGGTGTCTCATGCTCGATCCTCCTCAAGTTAGACAACATCTCGGCAGTCAGGTACATAAATCATCTTGGAGGTACTAAGTCACGCATCCTAGCGGTTTTAGCTCGAGACTTCTGGCATTACTGTTTACAAAACAATGTGTCGGTGACCGCGGAACACATACCAGGCCTGGACAATTACACCGCAGACTGGAACTCCCGATATCTGAGGGATTTAGGAGACTGGAAGCTTCAACCGAAAGTCTTCGCCAGGATAGCTCGACTATGGGGTCCCTTGAGTGTGGACCTCTTTGAGTCCAGACTGAACACTCAACTTCCTCAATTTTTCAGCTGGCGACCGGACCCGGAAGCCTTGGCGACAGATGCCTTCCTTCAGGACTGGACCGGGGGACGAGCATACGCCTTTCCCCCGTTCAACCTGATCGCTCGGACTCTAACATACATTCGACGCTACAGAACCTCGTTGGTCTTGATAACACCGTGCTGGAGATGCCAACCCTGGTTCCCTCACCTTCTGGAAATGGCGATCGACTTCCCACGGTTGCTACCAGATCAAACGTCCCTGTTAACCAACCCGGATGGGGAGAATCACGACTTGATAGAACGGGGAATCCTCCGACTCATGGCATGGCTCCTTTCCGGGGACCCTGGGAAATCGCGGAAGTTTCGGGAACAACTACCCAACTCTTGGCGAACGCCTGGGCACCGGGAACACGGCGCGCATTTGCTACGGCATGGAGAACTTGGTCCGATTGGTGCCTGGAAAGATCAGTGGATCCCATATCAGCTTCTGTAAAGACGGTACTGGACTTCCTCACTCAATTGTTCGAATCGGGCAAGGCATTCCGTACAGTCAACATCTACAGGTCTGCTATCTCAGCAGGCCATGATACGGTGGACGGGATCCCCCTCGGTCAGAACCCCCTGATATGTCGCTTACTCAAGGGTATACGTTTTTCACGGCCACCTAAACCCAGGTACGGATCCTTTTGGGATGTCAACATAGTGTTCAAATTCCTGGAAGACTGGCCCGACAACGCGGCACTGTCAATCAAACAGTTGTCCGCTAAACTACTCATGATTTTATGTTTATTATCCTGTAAACGGGTATCAGATGTAAGGGCTTTGGACTGGCTAGCCCGATCATTCACTCCAGAAGGGGTGTCTTTCGATATTTCAAGAAGAACTAAATCGGCGACTAAACAAGTTTTCTATCCACACCTCTCGCACCAACCAAAGCTATGCCCAATTTTGTGCCTAAAAGAATACGAAACCCGTACTCCTTCCCTAAGACCGTCAAACTACGACCCGTTGTTCATTTCACTAAAGAAACCGCATTTACCAGTGTCCACACCTACTCTCGCCCGTTGGGCCAAATGGTTATTGGCCTCGGCCGGGATAGACGTTACAATTTTTTCGGCCCATTCGGTCAGAGGCGCTATGGCTTCTAAAGCTTCGACGGTAGGGTGCCGGTTAGAAGACATCCTTAGGGCCGCAGACTGGTCTACGGAATCCACATTCCGGAATTTCTATTTTAAACCAATCCAACATTTTTCGGAAAGAGTCATTGCTCAGCTTTGAAAGAGCATAATAGGAGCCTCCGTGTCTTTAATAAAATTCCTAGATTTTACTATTAACATGACGTAAAGTCATGATTTTATTAAAGACACGGAGGCGAGTATTATTCCCTCCCACCCTCCCTGGGTGGAGGGATTGGTTTTTCTCACGGATACCAACCACAGATCAGGTGGACTCCTACAATGTAGATACCTGTAGGTGCGCTCATACGTCTCTCAGGTAGGTGACTTTGTGATATAGTAGACATAATCTTATATTACCTTTTGATATGTCGACATGACTACTACTTTATACGACTTAGTTTTTACCTACATGAAGTTACATGATGCAACCAGTTGCCGACCATATATTACCATATTTTCTCCTCTCTTTTAGCCTGAATCATACTGTCAAAGTGGTGATTTTCCGTTACAAAGCGTTACAGTCTAACCTCAAGGATTGGACATTACCTTTCGCCCACTGTTCCTGTTCGGGCCAAGTTACAGTTCGGTTATGGATCTGGTCTTCGGATCACGGAAGAAAGAGGAAGAAGCATGGAGTGCTACACCTTATATACTAAGGGGGTGGATACCTATGAGCACTGTTCCATATGCTAATGTTATTGTTATTTTTTCTCTCATTTGCATATATCTCTCTTCGCTGCTGAGGGAGAATTAAAGAAAGAGAAGCATAATACTCGCCTCCGTGTCTTTAATAAAATCATGACTTTACGTCATGTTAATAGTAAAATCTAGGAATTGTTTGCAAATTAGCATAGACCTACCCAGGTGTTAAACATTCCTAGTGGGTGGTGCATTTAGGAGTGTATATAAAGGTTGTAGATATTAGCTTGGTTAATAGAGCTTGGCAGCTGCTTCTAAGTGCTGCTACAAAGTGTGTGGTTGGAGATATTCTGGAGAGTTTTACAGAAGCTGAATATTTTTGTTCAGTATTTACAGATGAAAATGAAGGAAAGGGGCCTCAGTTAGGAAAAAGGACAAATGAGCCATTTGTTACATGTGAGTTTACAGAGGAATAGGTTCTATTTCAACTGTCAAAAGTAAAGACAAATAAGTCGATGGGGCCTGATACGATACACCCAAAGTTATTAAAAGAACTTAGTGGTGTACTAGCAAAACCACTAACAGATTTATTTAACCAATCATTGTTAACAGGAGTAGTCCCAGAAGATTGGAAGTTAGCGAATGTTGTGCCCATTCACAAGAAAGATAGTAGGGAGGAGTCGGGCAACTATAGGCCAGTAAGCCTTACTTCAGTAGTGGGGAAAGTAATGGAAACCATGTTAAAGGATAGGATTGTTGAACGTCTAAAATCACATGGATTTCAAGATCAGAGACAACATGGGTTTACTACAGGGAGATCATGCCAAACTAATCTTATTGATTTTTTGATTGGGTAACTAAAATAATAGATCAGGGTGGTGCAGTAGATATTGTTTACCTAGATTTCAGTAAGGCTTTTGACACTGTTCCACATAGAAGGCTCATTAATAAACTGCTATCTTTAAGTTTGGATTCCAATATTGTTGAATGGGTTAGGCAGTGGCTAAATGACAGGCAACAGAGGGTTGTAGTCAACGGAGTATATTCAAAGCAAGGTCTAGTTACCAGTGGGGTACCTCAGTGATCTGTACTTGGACCCATTCTCTTTAATAGTTTTATTAGTTATATTGCAGAAGGTCTTGATGGTAAGGTATGTCTTTTTGCTGACGATACTAAAATTTGCAACAGGGTTGATGTTCCAGGAGGGATAAGCCAAATGACAAATGATTTAGAAAAATTAGAAAAATGGTTAGAGCTGTAGCAACTGACATTTAATGCAAGATAATGCACCTTGGATGTAAAAACCCAAGGGCAGAGTATAGGATATTTGATACCCTACTAACCTCAACATCTGAGGAAAGGGATTTAGGAGTAATTATTTCACATGACTTAAAGGTAGGAAGACAATGTAATGGAGCAGCTGGAAATGCTAGCAGAATGCATGGTTGTATAGGGAGAGGTATTAGCAGTAGAAAGAGGGAAGTGATTGTACAGAACACTGGTGAGACCTCACTTGAAGTATTGTACGCAGTACTGGAGACCATATCTTCAGAAGGATATTGATACTTTAGAGAGAGTTCAGAGAAGGGCTACTAAACTGGTTCATGGATTGCAGGATAAAACTTACAAGAAAAGGTTAAAAGAACTTAACATGTATAGCTTGGAGGAAAGACGAGACAGGGGGGATATGATAGAAACATTTAAATACATAAAAGGAATCAACGCAGTAAAAGAGGAGAACTACCACAACAAGAGGACATAGTCTTAAATTAGAGGGGCAAAGGTTTAAAAATAATTTCAGGAAGTATTACTTTACTGAGAGGGTAGTGGATGTATGGAATAGCCTTCCAGCTGAAGTGGTAGGGGTTAACACAGTGAGGGAGTTTAAGCATGTGTGGGATAGGCATAAGGCTATCCTAGACTTAAGATAAGGCCAGGGACTAATTAAAAGTATTTTGAAATATTGGGCAGACTAGATGGGCCGAATGGTTCTTATCTGCCGTCACATTCTATGTTTCTATTACATTTTACATGAGACCATCCAGCGTCTTCTAAATCCCCACAGGAAAGCGTTGAGTTAATGTTTTCCCATTGTGAAGGCCTAATGCGCGCATGGTGCTCGCCACACATGCGCACAAGGTTCCGTCCACTGGATAATGTCAGAGAATCAGTTAAGTGTTTAAAGGGGTTATTTAACCCTTTCATGATTGCAGGGGTGGCATAAGCAGAGGGACACTTTAGTATTAGGTACCCAGTTTTGTACTCCTAACACTGTAGTGTTCCTTTAAAACTGCTGCATTAAGCTTTATTATGAGAACGTTGTTTTGGTGCTTAGAGTATTCCTTGAAACCCGGGTTGAGGGGGGTATGGGACCCCAGCCACTATTCAAAGTAGATATTCTTTTTTCTTATATCTCCTTTTTTTCAGCACTCTAATAGGCAATATCCCCATGCAAGTGTCGACAGAAGTGAGACTTGGTTGTCTGAGCACTCTGATTGGAGACAGTGAGGTGAACATTGATCTTTTATTTAATTATTTAATTTTAATTTTATTTAGTAGGCACCATCGCCATTGGATAAGGCAATAGCTGCCCAATCTCTAGTTTGTAGTTACACTGAGCAGCTTGTGAGGTAAGGGCGTAGGAAAGGTGC